GCAGGTGGATTTGGTCTGTTAGACTCAACTCTACAAAGCCTGAGGAGAGGAGAAAAAAAGGCCTCTTTACACTTGGAAACCACCCACATTCCGCCTTCATGGAATTATGAGCACCAAACCCTCATGTATCCCAAATTGCACAATTGGAATCAGCACTTATTACCACCCTTACACACCCCTATCCACACATTCTTTTAGTTGTACGCCCAGATCCACCAGTCAAGTTAGAGCTTGATTACATGTCTGTGCAGACTAATAATAGTATGCATTACTGCACTTTGAGATGTCTTTGTGTTTGAAAGAAAAGCAGGTTTGTTTTTATGTGAAATAACATTAAACTGATCATAAATGTTCTATATAACAATGATTCATCAGGGGAATCATTTCTTCATCATTCCTGTGTTTCATTGGCTCACTGCCTTATCCAGTGCAACATGATGTTCAACAAGACAGGAAATATGGTGAAAAGCAGTAAAGGGTTCAGGCCAGCCTGGAATTAGACCAGAAACACTCACTGCTTGGAAGATTTTGTGGCCATCTGGTAATGTGGCTCAGCCAGCCAATCTATCAGGGCTCCCTGACCGTTGATAAAGACACTGTTGCAAGGAACTTCTTTCTGTTGTATGACTACATACATCTCTACCCAGAAACAGAGAGAAATGTACAGGGGTGGTGCGGGACATCTGTAACTTTGTAACAGACTGTTGCACAACCAGTGCCTCAGTGCCAAACATGTCAACAGACGGAGCTACTTTCATCGGAATTCTTTGATTGAATCTGGCTTCAAAAGTGGTTCAGCTAACAAAGGTGACACCAGAGAGTCACGTGACACTGACAGCCTTCCTGTTGTATTTATGTCTGAATGATTACAGCTCACATTTCACCACCATTCATTAAACTTGATTTAATCCTTTAGTGCAAAAGAAAAACAGGATCAATCACGAAAAGCAACTTTATGGAAGGAACCAACACTGATACTAACATCACACGAGGCTGCTACATTTATTTGCACTCATCTGGCTTTTTTTCCACTATTTGCTTTTAAAAAATATTTGGACCTCTAACTTCTTTTCAGTAGTTCAATTTTAAAAAGGTTTATTAAATATGAGAAAATGAAATGTGTCATTTACCAGTATTTGGATTCTTGGTAGAAGTCCCTTTGAGGCCTCTTGGGTAAGTTTCTACAACTAGATTTGCCCATTGATTGTTCCTTTGGATCACTGTATGACTGGATATGAAGTGCATAGTATTGTCTTCAGGTGTGTCTGTAGCTATTCTGTGTGGATTACGTGGTTGCTTTAACTAAGCTACTGAAGAACAGTAAGACTTTTTCCTCGAGGCTAGCTTGGCTGCGTGTACGTTGGCTTACTGTCATATGGATCTCCTTTTATTTAAGGCGCTTCTGTCCAGATAACTGCTTTCTACTTAATGCTCTGAGAAGTCTTGCTGTACCTGCTACTATGAAGCAGCCTCGCTACTATCATGTTTCACTGCAGGGATGGTATTAGCAGATGATGAGGAGTGCCTGGCAGAGAAGGGCAGTAATGCGTTACTGTAGATGATGCTACTTGTTCCGTTACTTGTAACGCGTTACCGTAATCCGATTACTTTTTTCAAGTAACGAGTAAAGTAAGGGATTACTATTGCAAAAACGGTAATTAGATTACCGTTACTTTCCCGCAGGAACGCTGCGTTACTGCGTTACTAAAACCGTGATTTTTTGCA